ATATTAATTAATCAGAAAATTTAACACACAGACGGATCCAGTCGCCATGGCCAAGATCTAAGCATAACATCAATTATCATAATCATTGTTATCACAAACTAACTCTTAGAATTGAGGATTCTTTTGTAGGTCAAGAAGTGATCAATAAACGAATAAAATCATTTGACATATCTGTGTTATTGATTATCGATTTATTTATTAATGTACATTTAAGAAGACTGAAAAGATACCACATTCTCGATATCCCTGATAGATAAATCAAACAAACTGAAAAGATGTTATATATAATAGCAGGACTCATTGGAAAACTGCTATTTCTGTTAATTGAATATGAATTATACAATTTACTTATTGTTTAAACAAACAGATTGTAAATATAAAGAGAGAAAAAAAAAATATGTTCATTTATATGGAAATATGTACACATAGTAAGTAAACTTAACCATATATGGCCAATATCCCGACACGATATTTTTTTTAAGTTTTAGTCCGTTTTAGCCTTGTTGTATAATTTCTAGAGATAACGAACAAAGCGTATGTGACAACACATTCAGATCTATCCTTATCCCTCATCCGCAATGCGCATATCGATTTTACGGCGAATGTCGTGAAAAATCTTAAGATTGAAGAACTTTTCGTGAGCATGCAAGTGACAAGGGGAAGGAAGTGAATCTTATCTTTTTACATTTATAGGACAGTGTTTCCCCAATCTCAATGCAACTGCGATCAACGCACAGCTCTGGTATAAAGCCATGAGTTCCATTCTTGTGTTCATTTTTTTGTTATATTTTTTATAAATAAAAGTATATTTGGATGTGAGGGAAACCACTCACTCAGCGATTTAAAATCGTCAGTCGTTTTCCTCATCGTGATACAAAACATAATATTCAAAGACAACCAAACTACCTTTTGCCGAACCGCCCCTCTTACTTCTGGGTTTCATGTCATTTTCAGTTTAAGTCGTGGTGCATCCGCTACTCGTCGTTTCTCTTGCCAAAGGCCCGAGCGTAGCAGCAGCAACAGCCTTCATGCCAACAATAAACGAGACGCCAATTTCGCTGTCGCTGTCGCTGACACGTCCACTGCCGCGACCATTGACCGACCATTCTGGACTGCACAGCACCTCGGCTCCACTTTCTCTTCCTACTCGCAATATAGTGATGTATTCCTTTGAACAAACAGACATCGACTTTGTCCGAGACCTTGCATCAGTGTTCTCATCTGTCTGGGTCCGCGACCTCCATCTCTCCGGGGTTCAACCAACGTTGTGTCCGTCGTAAGTATCCTAGCTGCGGGCAACGCCATGTGACTTGGAGCGAATCTGTGATTGTAAGTTCTGCGACGTCGCTAGGATAGCTCAGGGCCAGTCGGTCTTCTACTCCCGTAGCCTGTGTTCCTCACATCAATCTTTTTTCCATATATACATACATACATATACGTATGTAGATCCACCTGTACATTGCATACATATACATACATACATATGTATGTATGCTCAATGTAAAAGGAATCATCCACAGGCAGTGGAAAGTTCAATAAAACTGCCTCACTGCGTAGCTAAGTGTTTAATTACAGGGATAGGATCAATCTGACGTTTTATGATATTATTATTTTAAGCTCAAAGAAACAAAAGTCAGAAATACTTTTGGATATTTACGAGTATTTAAGCAATTATGTCGCTTGTGGTTAATACAACATATGTACATATGTTCATGAACTATGTACTTTTAAACAAAGCATAAGAAAGTATCTACATATGTATGTACGCATGTATAGTGAAAACTATGTTTTAATTTCGCGTGTTTACATTGTAACTCGGTGCTGCTTTCATGGGCTACAGGTAATGGCAAAAGATCCCAAAGGGTTGGGTCGCGAAAGCAAGACCGAATAATAAAATATTATCCATGAATGATAATAGTGGGGCTGCGGCCTACACTATACACGTTTTGTTCATGGCTATATGAGGCCAAAATAAATTCTGGTTTTGGGGCGAACCTTTCGATGCTCTTTCAAATCGAATGCTCTGCTGCCATGCCAACTAAGTATATATTCAAGTTATTCGGTTTTGCTGAGTTGTGGAACAATAGCTATATTGATCGAAAAATTGATCTTCTCACAATGAGTTTTTCCCTTAAAGAAGGAAATGGACTGCCTCCTTTTACCAAATCATTTAGTTCTAAGATAACGTAATCAATAAACACATTCATTAGTGAATTTTCAATACCCACTAATTTGTGGCAATGCATACATAGTATGTCTGTACATATGCACATACATTGATTGCGTCGGGGATGCATCAGTCTGTGCGTTACAAAGAGTTGATTAAAATCTTTATACCTTCTGCAAGGGTACAAAAATGACACACATGTAGCGGGCGGCTGGGGATGGTGGCTTACGTTAAGGTTTTGCTCATGGGAGCGGTGTGGTGTGGAGTATGTATCATCATCGAATGTGAGTACAGTGCCAAGAATGGAAATGACAAGCGGAGCGGCCTTACGCGTATTATGGCCGCTAGTGTCGACTCCGTGGGTCCTTTTGTCCCCAGGACAAAAACACTTCCGTGCAGTACATTATCATAAAGGGGTTAAGTCGCTGATTTTCATCGTGTGTGCTCATTTAAAAACAGAAATTCCGCATCGCCATGCCTGACTGGGGTTTCTGGAGACAGCATAGGTCAGAACATACCAAGTGGCACCTCTCGACGACAACATCTTAAGGAATCGCGCTGAATTTCACCGCTTTGTCTTTGCGCTCTTATGAAAATGATGGCAGTGGCTCATTATGTGTCCCGATAAGCGACGTGCCTCCCATGTGAGTCCTTCGCCCGAGGTTACTATAGGAAGGGATATGGTTGCTCGGAGTGGGTGGTCGTGGAGGCTCTGAGACGCTGCATTGTGTCAACGATAGAAGCCGCTGCCTGCCAACCCTATCTTAAGGTCTTTTTGTCCGCATTGTTATGAGTTCTGACCCGCGAGCGGTGGAAACCATTCACCGGGGTGGCAACTGAAAGTGATTCTGCCTCGGCAGACTCTGTTACTTTCCACCCTTTTTATTATATTTACCCTTGCAAAGAGTATACCACTGTTGGTCAGTTGTTTGTATACATCAGGTTATTATTTGTTTAATTAAATCGTACAAGTCAAATGATTATAATGATTTGCAGTTGTTCTTATAAAAACCACCCACTCACTCAGAAGGAGCATCACCAACACCATACAATATACATAGATCCTATTTGCTAAATTATTATTACAAACAAATATCCCCCATTTGCTAGGGTATCTAAAGTTGACTTCCTTGACTGGTTTTTATTTTTGCTGTTTAAAATGTGCTGCGTTTTGGCAATTTTTCTTTAAAATTGCGATCCTTCAGAATGAGCTGGACGGTTTTTTTGTTTTTGTAATTCGAGCTATGACCCCTGTGCAAGTAACTGAGCGCCCGTTGCTTCGTTCTTTACTGTTTATTCGCCTCTTTGTTTTGTCATGTTCGTTTTCGCCATTGTTGAGACTGCGAGCACAAGACTTGATCCTAATTTAACACGTTCGAATAACCTTGAAGCGTTTCTTATTACGCGCGACCACAATGCAGCGGGCACAAAGCCAGACATACAGCAGTCCAGGCGGGGAGAACTTTGTGTGCTCAGCTATTGCCGTTTGCATACGCTGAGAATCAATCAGTCTGAAGAACCACCGATTCAACAAAGTGTACATATGTATGTGTATATTTGACCTCGAATACTTTGACTTGCTGATAAATGACGATGCGCCTCTTTGTATATCTTATGGCTTCACACGATGGTTAAATGAATTTTTCCGTTTCAAAAGAATCCAATACACATTTTCAACCCATTTACATGTACATTTTTGTGCTTGTCAAATAACAAAATTAATCTCATCTTTATTGATTAACCGCCTTCAATAAAAAAGAAGGCGGATATGTCAACGACCATTGTAAGGGCAACGGAATCGGGAGGAAGGTCAGTAGTAATTCTAAACGCGGATATGTCAACGACCACTGCTGTGAGGGGAAACGGAATTCGGACCGAAGGTCAGACGAAATTCTTAGCGTTTCCCGAGCTAATGGCCGTTTCGCTACACTTCACAGTTTTTCTTCATCCGCATTTAAACAAAATTCTAAGCAATTGCCGGATTGTCCTCTAAGATTTCGCGGAACAGGGACTGAATGCCACGGTGTCATGCAGGGGCTCTAGCTGGGAAGAATGGCAGGTAAGCCACCAATACCAACAAGCAGATAGCCTGGTATACATGAATATGTATACAGGCTGTGAAATAGGAGTGATCTTTACAGCCTCCTAGAAAGCTGCAGTAGATGGTTGTTCGAGTTGCCCGATGGAATCATAAGATCTTTATTCATAAAATGTGTGAATACGGACAGACAGACGTGGCTATATCGACTCAGCTATTGATGCTTCTGGGCGATACTTCCACTTTCAGAACAGTACAATTTACCCCTTTTACTCCTCGAGTACAGGGTATAATAAGATGACTGTCGATCAGCAATGGTATTGGAAGCTTCCGTACAATTCCAGATAGCTGTCACGCTGTTTCAGCTGTTTCAAAAGACAGCAGATTGACTCCTACAGTGTCTGCGGAACAACCTATCTTAAAGGTTCATTTCCTTCGCTCAGGTAGAACGTGCCAAAGGCAGTCGAAATGTCCCCTTTGTCTTGGTTAGCGCAAGAGTTTCTGCTAAATTTCTTGGAAACAGTCTCCCATGCTGTTTGCAAGTAATATACCTACATATGCACAACTATTTTGTTTCCAACGCACTTGCTCATTGGCAATGTGTATGTACATATGAATGAATGCATCTATGTACAAATGCATTTAGGCACAGAGGTGTGAGTATATTTACATATGCACATATATATATTTAAGATCAATTTTCCCACATCCGCTATTCATAAAATATGATCGATGTTGTCTATGTTGTGGTATACATGTTAAATACAAAGCTAAATTTGTTTAAATTACATATAGCCAAATCGACTAATTTCGCCGGACACCTTGTTGCGAAAACGTCGAGGAAATTCATTTGAAATGGCCACTCTTTTGGCCAGTATGCTTATTGGAGCTGGGCACCCTGCCATGGTGGTCTCTGGAGTGGCACGCGAGGAGGTAGTGATTAATGATCAAATTGATGTTCCATATCCATATCCGATTTTGGAAGTTGAAACAGAAGAGATCAAACCCCCCCAAGAGAAGCCCGGTCAAAAGTATAAATTACGAGGACTGCCGGATTTGAAGAGCCATCTTGATGAAGAAATGGCAGAGGTTCACAGGCAAAAGGCAGAGGAAGAAAAACGAATTGAGGAAGAACTTGTACGAAAACAAATGGAGGTAATAAGTGTGCTCACATATTGTCCACAATGAATATGACAATTGAAACGCAAACATATTTTTTGTTTAAGGATCTTGAACTATTAGCTGTGGACCGCTATCACTATCGTCGCAGCCATGCCTGGGTAGTCATAATAAATAACGCACCTTGGAGCATAAAACCACGAATTACTTACACCGACGTGAACGGTGATGTTGTGGAAGCGCCTCCTACGGGAGTTTTTATTGAGCCTTCTACGGGTTTTATGTGTGAAACGGGATGCAAGGAATACATTTTAGTCGATACCATTTGGAATCAGTACAATTACTATGTAAATAAACAAACTTATCAGAGAGTCGGCGACATACGTTGGGATCTGCGAGACACTAATGACTGGGAGCATATGCTCCCAGGAGAGCCGCCTGAGATGCGCACCTATAAGGTAGCTTCGGATGAAAATATAGTAGGAGAAGACCATGATATAAATGACGAAAAACACTTGGATGCAATATGCAATTGGGTAAATAGGCTCCATATTGGACTAGCAGACTATGAGCAACGCTTTCCAAACTCTGAGAAGTTGGTGCAATACAAAGGTTCAATACATGAGCGCTATGCGCCCTACTCCCAACGCGATGGGAAAGTGATGCAGCTTACGGTTTTTAATGATAATGAATGCACAGATCCACGCGTTAGATATGAATACTTCGAAAACCGTTTTGACCTAATGCGACGCTTGAAATACACCTATGCACTCGATAAATATGAAGAGATATTTGCCAAAGGGCGCAACGACAGTTTGAAATGTAAGTAATAATCTAGTAATTACTTTTTGAATTATTAAAAATTATAAATGGTATTATTTCAGCAATGGAATATTATTCCGATCCTACACTAGAGAGAAAAATGTGTTTCTATTCGAGCTCCCGATTAGACTCTTTGGAATTTTTGGTTGTGACGCCAGGAGTAACTACTCTCAACTACAAAGGTCGTTGTGACAAGTGCTGGTATAAGGAGTTTGAATTTAATATAACTGGATCCGTGCTTAAAGTAAAGCTTAAAGTTATTTGATACAATCTGCGAATGATTTTTCTAATAAATATTATTTTAACAGAAAGTCACAGAAAAATTTCATCGTCAAAGTGCCTCCGATGTTGGGAAAAACGATATTGCCACGCGTGTATTTCTTTTTCAACAAAACAAAATTATTCTGAAATTCCATTACAATTTTGGAGCACTTACAGCTTCCACAGTGGAATTTACGAAGCCACCTAAGCCTGACTATGGCAAAGAACTAATATATGATGAGAAACTTACCAAGATATATAAGGTTAGTCCATAGCCAAAAATAATTATCTACACTCATGTATTTGTATCTGCTTTATATCCGCTACAGGCCAACCCGTTAGATCCCACTCGCACTAATCTAGAATTGTACAGATTACTAAGGGAGCAGCTTCAATACGAGGCTCAGATACGAAAACAGTTTGAAAAAATGCAGGAGGATATCCTGAACATCTTTGACTTGCGTAAATTTGAGAAGACAGATCCGAAGTTGAAGTTCCGCATATTTGATCCCCTCCGAAACGGAGCAGCTAGAGCTATAAGAATGATGCAGGTAAATAGATATTTACAAATGTAATTATGTATGTACATTTATTAAGCATGTTGTATGAATATGTATTTGCAGTTTGCAGAGGAGGAAGAACTTAAACGAGAAATCGCCAGTAAGCCAGCCGACTTTTTGGCTCCATATTTAGTACCGTACAAGCATCAGGAGAAGCTGACTTCGGATCAAGCATTGTGTGCGTATAATGCGTGCCTCAATGATTTAAAATCCCGCTTTGTGAGCTTGCTCAATAACTTACAAAGAAATTATGAAGATGTGAGATTGTTTTTTTAATGCATTACAACATTAATTTAATATTCGATATTTGTAGCTTACATGTGAATCAAAGTCTCTCAATCGATTTCTAAACAAATTCGAAAATCAATTTGATAACCACGACTACAAGCGCCTTGTTCAGCAGTCAAAAGAATTAGAGCTGAACAAGCGCATGGTGCAACAGCGCTTGACGCTCACTCATGAAGAATCCCAAAAAAAATACGAAGAAGTTAAGAGTGCCTTACTCAAAGATACGAGGCTTAACATAAAAACTAATGACGGACGGAACTCTGAAGAATCCAAGTAAAAACCAAGACATATTTTAAAAATTAATCATGTTTCATTAAATAAAACCTATGTTGGCTTGCAAACTTCGAGCTATGACTGCTCCTAAAGCTGAATTCAACAAAATTTACCTTCCACATATAATTTTAAGGTTAAGCTTTATGTAATAATGTAAAAATAGACCTACAACGAAACACACACAACCACCTATGCTGTTACTAAATTTAGATGCTTTTTGTCGTGAGTTGATCGTCCTCTTCGAAGTGCTGCAACTACCTGAAATTGAGACACCACTGGAACTACTGAACGGTATTTTCATAGGCACATTCAAGAGATTGTACAGATAAAAATAATGAAATTTTGGTTGTTTATGAAGTAGGTCTGTTTTAATATAAATTTTTGTGTTTTTGGATGAAGTCTGTGCTTTAGTTTTCAGTATGTTTTGTGATATTTATGCATGTTTGTACATACATACATATGTACATATGTATACATATGTACTACATAAACATATGTAACATCCTATCACTCAACAAATATTAATTAAAAATATGAAAAAAAGTTTAGAGCAATGTTTGTTGACTTTTTATTTGTATTTTTGTATGAAGATGCATTTATTATTTCAATGTACTAATGAATACATTAATAATGAATGAAAACATTAATGCATACATATTTAGGCAAACGAGAGAAGCGAATTTGCAGGGAACTTGCCCCCTACTGTATGCACATATAATAAGAGTGAGTTCCGGGTGCTACACATAACTTTATAATAACCAGATAGTGTTGAAAATTGACATCAAACAATTTACATTTGTTCTACGAAGACGAGCAGCATTTTCTTAATACTATATTGACATAAATGAACGCTTTAATATAGAAGTATTTGACCAATTCTGATCTGCGAAATAACTGTGAAACTGTTCCTGGTTGTTATTGAACTTGCCTGATTATGCTTTACGGGTCGCTCGAAATTTATCAATATTTAAAGTTGGAAATTATGATTTAGTCCATTTTGTCGGCCATGAAATTATTGGTGGATAAGTATTTATACTATTCTAAAATGTGAATGCCAATTTAACGGAACAGAAGTCATTGTGACTACGGGAACAACGTCGCTAAGGGTGGGGGTTGCGAGGAAAATTCGTTTCAAAAAGTGACCGTTTGAATATTGGACAAAGTGGCTGTGCTCGAGCATAGTCCCCCGCCTAGGGCACACAAGCCATACGTACATACATATGTACGTGGTTGGAGGCAGTAGCATCAACAGAACACATACGTACGCCTAACATATATACATATGTACATACATAGCCCCCCACGTGTATCCGCCTGTATGAGATGGGCTGGGCGGCTGTCCATTTAGCCCAATACTCATACCATAGAAAGAGCTCACACAATCGTTCAAGACCCACGCATACACACACCCAACATATATGCTGTCCGTGACCCCCTCCTTCCAATGACGGGATGGCGAAATTGGGTTCGTCCCTTGGAAGAATCGTCCTAAGATGAAAGTACCGTCCCTTGTCCGGCTACCGACGTTCGTTGAAAATTTGCTCATGGCATGAACACATGTGGCGTAATTTCGTCGCAGACTTTTGCTCTAACTGGACAAGGAGATTTCATACACTGAAATTATATTCTATCATTTTTTATTTTTAATGTCCTGAAAACAATTCTTTTTTGCAGCTCGAAGGTCTTGTATACTAAATGCATAAGCAATATAAACCGAAACCGAAAATGTACGAAACAATTTTAAATTCGTTTAATTTAAAATTATTAACATATCCTTTAAACAAAACAAATCCTAATAGGCCAACAGAATAAGAAACATTATCAACATTTTTCTCAGTGCATTTTCCATTCCCGAGTCGCGAGACACTGTAATAGCGCCCGGTCAATGTGTTCGCCAAGTTGTGAGCCATGGGCCATGGTGTCTACCGCGGTGGTGGAACTTCTGCTTCAGACTCGGCCGTGGTCCGGCTGGAGTATAAGTACAGTTGTGTAAATACACTAGCGGACAACGCCGCGGTCCCAAGAATTTGTATTTTATCAGCATCATTCACATCGCGTAGTCAAGGACTTTCCCTATTTACGCGAAGTATACACACATGCAGTCGTTTATATGTGTAAGTGGGTTCTTGCTGAAGCAAATAGGACATGTGGCGGTGGTGGGAGAAGCGTGAGGGTTTTGCAAGCCGGCTCGCACACGGGTTTTGACTGTGCTGTGCCCATGTGTATGAGAATGAGGATACACGAATGGGGATGGTAAAAGAGGCTGGGGGTTACTCTCCGATCCTTTCATTTTATTCCTAAATGTCCTTCCTTCAATATTTCAACGTGCTTCGTGACGCGTCCGTTTTGTATGATGGGAAGCTTGGAAGTGGTCCTTTGTCGCCAGCGACCACCGTCGTGGTCCAAGTTGGCTATACCGCCTCTCTTCTTGTTATTGTTTGCTGCTTCCTTCGTTGCTGACATGTCGCTGTGCCGCGATGAATTGAGCGATGTTTTAGACACGCAGGAGTGGGACAACTTTTATCTCGGCGCATTTATTTTTCTATTCCACTTATTATACGCGTATGTGCCACAAACAGGATACACACCCACGTGGGCATATATTGGATATTTATTTTGTATTCCAGCGGACGGCAACGCAACGGACAGTGAACGTGTCAGCAGCAGCGGCGGGGTCGCTGGACTGTTAAGTGGGGTATGGTATGGTATGGTATTCCTGAACTAAACGTGAGTGTGGGAGGTACATACATATGTACAAATGTATATACTACATGGGGATGTGTATGGGCTTTTTCCCGGACAAAGATATGGGACGCTGAAAAATGGTGTGAATTCACTTGAATGATTTGAGCGAGTCCTGCACATGTGAGGATGGGAACATATTTTTTACTTTCTTTATTGCGTTTTTCAAAAACACAACTAAATATGTATATTTTAGGAAAACGTCTCCACATTTTAATTCAAATTGAAAAATCGCTTACTTAATATGTACACCAATATGGGTATATCTACACGGTCAAACTCCGACTTTTAAACCAGACGTAATATAAACGAGGAGGAACGTTGGGAGACGATGTAGTGCCGGCCAGGTTCTGTTTGAGCAGGTTTAAGCTGGTCGAAATCAAGGCCTAATCAAACAAAATCTCTGTCCACCTGGAGTTCTTGATCGTTATCGTTGAAATCATTTTATCAAGTGGTAATATGTATCACGTTCCCGAGGACGCCTTTTCCGCGTTCTGAGCCTCACTTTATGACTCTAATTGCCCCCAACTTGGTAAAGTTGATACTGGTTACTGCTTATCTGTGCACAGTTGATATGTTGATGACGTGTTTACTGCAGCATAAAGTCCTTTTACGACCCATTTTATTTATATCCCAGCTCCAGTCATGAGCCTGTCCTGGCGTCAATAAATTTTTATTAGCCATGATGTGGCTGCTCTTGTTCCTTAAGACGGCTAGCAAACTGATTCCAATGTTTTATTACCCATGTTGTGGCCATTCGCATGTAATTCGCGTTTTATTTCCCACACGTTGGGCGTGTGAGCAAATTAGTTTTCAATTACGTTTCACTTATACAAAATATGCGAGAGAGAAGGTTTTGGCTACTATTTATTATGTGCTTGCCCATGCGAGCGAGTATCAGTCAACAGTTACTTAATAAGGTCAATTTAAGTATATGTATTTATGTATACTTAAGGATGTACATACGTAGCAAAGCACATACATACATCGTTTCGTTTGTCTATGTGTATGTTTGATGACTAACAAGACTCCAGTGCCTGACTCTCTAATTGCGGGATAAGTTACCCTGATTATCGGCTTCATTAACCGTTCCCCTACAGCAGCACAGCAGAAACAGTTGTACATAATCTACTCAAACTATTGTTGTCCTTATACTTATGTATTCACGCAGGTGTGAGTAAGTTGCATTGACATTGACTTTCATCTCATTACGAGCATAATGGCAACGAATGTTTATTTATGATTTTACTGACCGACATACATATGTACATTTGTATGTACGTACATACTTATGCACATCCATGTGATTGTGGTCCACACACATCCCTCAATGTTAGTACATACATTTGTATATGTACAATTTTCAGTCAAAGTGCCACAGGCAGTGGGTTAAGCAGCATGTCCTCCTAATTTAATGATAATGAGCAATAATAATAATGTGTGGATACTCATGCATTGCAATTGGTTCATGGCTACATGTCATTCGCTATAAAAAAGAGTGAAAGTTTTCTTATTTAAGGACTCTCTTAAAGTGAGTTAAGTATTTTTTTCCTTTCCTTTTATTTGTTTCACTTCGTTGAAAAAAATTATCTGAAAAATTAGGACGATTGAATATCTGTTGGTTATTATTGGTTGGTTATTAACTCAAAATTGTGGCGAAAGTGAATTTCGCGACCTGAGGTGTAGAATGGGGCATAGCTAAATATATGTAGTTACGAACTTAATGTGATAAGTATGTACATACATACATATGTATGTATGGCATTGCTGATATGGACGGACCTACAGGTTTAATGTAGAATATTGGGTCAGAAAGGCCATTAAAGGGATATATTAATACCAAAGAAGAAAATCCATATATTACATACATACATGCATATGTATGTACATATGTATATGTTGCTAGAATTAATACAAAATAATTTCTAATTATAAATGTATCTGAAATATTATAAATTTAAAACGTTCAAAGTATTTAATTGTTGCTTAAAAATATGCGAGCACCAGCTGCTAGCTACATACATCATTATATAATTAGCGACCAATACATTTTCCGACTAAGACATTTTCTCCGTTGTCAGAATAACTGATTTCATTTCATCTGCTTTAGGAACCTAATGGGACCTATTTGGCGGATTTTGGTGAAAATTACGCTAGTTAACATGTACCTGTATTGTGTATTCCTCGGAAAACAGCCATGCACTTTGAAATAACTATGTATGTACTTATGAACGTACATTCATATGAATTGCAAAAACTGTCAAAATATTTCCAAATTTTGTTAATAATTTTCATATATTTTGATTTTGAATTATTCTTGGGCTTTTGGTAGATTCCTAACTGCATTAAATAGCTTTCTAGAATTGAAAGTATCTTCCTAATCTAGGTTTAATTTAATCCAGCCAATTGGAAAGCGTAAGCCTATTGCTGAAAGAAACAACTTTTTGGTGGTTTGGTGGGACTTATTTCAAAAACAAAATATTGTTTCTAAGTAGTTTTTGATATTGGATTAAGTGTACTAAGGAACCAGTGACAGCTGCCGAAAGTCTATGATTTTATATTTATTTATGTAGTACACAAATACATATATAAATATGGAAATACATGCATATGTGCATATGGATGTTTTTTAATGTACGTTAAAAGGAAGAAGAGCTTCGCGGTTGCAACAGCTGTATACTCTATGGTATAGAAAATAACGACTAATATAATTGCGAGGTGGGTGGCGGTTTGCAGTTTCATAAATATATCAGCCAAAAATTTAGTGTATATCGTACAGTATGTAAATGCATGCATATATACATATGTCGTTGCGCACCGTAATACTTTAAAACTTCCACAGACTTACTTACATAAGTACATAATACATACATTTTTGCGTACATTTACATAGATGTATGTATGTGGGTATTTGTATGGATGCACACGCAATTTCTTAAACTTAAGTGTGTGCGTGTTGTAGTATGCATGTACATACATACATACATATGTGCTAGGAAAGAAAAGTTATATACAAAATGCATATTCCAGAGAAGACATGCGCTTGTGTTCGTTCTCGTTCTAATTCTAATGTCCAGCTTTTGAAAGTCTTCAGAATGTACGTATGTAAGTATGCATATACATACGTATGTATGTAAATATTCTGATACATAGTTCTTGTACATTTGCATCTCAAAATCGTGGCCGGGTAGTCAGATGACTAGAATGCAGTCTTGATACATAAGCACACAGTCGAGCTTCCGCTCAAGTGCAAAATCGGATGCGGTGGCTCCTACTTCGTCATTGTTACTACAACGAAGGCTGGCTACCTCTTTTGAGCCGTGCTCAAAACATTGATTCCCCCATTCCCATTCCTCCGTTTCGGAAATGATAGCAGCTTATATGCGATGAGAGATTCTGTGATCGAGAATTTTAATACTTTCTAGGGATTTTTATGTGTTTTAAATACTCTTTCATATTTATAAAACACAAACATTTTGTGCAGAATCAGTTAGAATCAATATTTTTGAAAAACATCTTGTATTTATTTTGATGGCAGTATTTTAGGCTTGGGTCTTCTTATATAAAATACAAATTTACATATTTCTCGCATATGCAAATGGTTCCTCCCGAGACTCAAGTAGCCGAATGGGACAGTGGATTCTCAAAGGATGCACTCCCTTCTACAGTCCTGGTCAATTGCGACGTCGTCGGCATTCGTGAAATAGCCAACTTTCGTACATACCTCCCATAGAACATTTTTGCTTCCACCAACCGTCTCCGTCTCCCTCTTTAATTTCTAGCTCTTTCTCTTTCCAGTTGCATGTGTGTTTGTGTATTAATTTAGCCACCCACTACCACACCCGTACGCTGCTGTTGCTATATGCAAGCTGGCCATAGCAACTTGAAAAGTCGAATTTTCACCATCTCGTTCCTTCGTTTCGCGCAGCTACTACCTCTGCAGAGCCTCGACTTCGGCTTTAGCGGCAGCCTCAAACTCAAACTCAAACTCAAATTTAGTCCTGGCTATGGCTATGACGATGGCGATGGCAACGGCGACGAAGGCAAACGTGACCTAGCTCGGTTAGTACGTAGCCCATATAGACTCCGTCTCCAGCAGACTAGGGAAAATCTCAACCCCTCAAGACCCAACTCCCAACCCCTGCATTGGGCCTTCCCTCACAACTGTCCGGACGGACAGGACAGGACCGAACCGGACCGGACTGGACCCATCATCCTCTTCCTCATCAGCCTTAGCCTCCGATGTAGCAAGCAATCGCAAGCCGTATGCAAACAATATTTTACATAGCTACTGTCTGGAGGTTCTTGCTGCTCAACTTCGTTGGCCTTCCTTCGTACTCTCGGCCTTCGTCGACAGTGCCTTCTTTCCTGTGCTTCTTGCATCCCGCTCAATGTCCGAGCACACACATACACACACACACACCCATACATATACATACATATATACACACACGTACGAAAACGTATGCCCGTATGCTGCGATGTTTGTGTTTGTATTAATGTCCGCATCTAAATTCGCATATACAGCAGCGGTCAGCTATGGAAATTATCGATCGACTTGTTTTTGGTGTCAGGTGGTCGGGCGATGGATGCGGTGGCACCAAAGGCAGCATGATGGACACGCGCCTGGACTAGAGAGTTCCACCGCTGGGCAACGAACCTTCCCCTGCCTCAATGGGTTTTGGGGCGGCAGATGCAGAGACGGAGGCAGAGGCAGATGCCAAGGCGAACATCGGCAGGACGCATAGTTTGAGATGAAAGTGGAGGCAGTACTTGCGACACGACAACATGCTGGAAGGAGCATCGGCGACGCCGTTCATACAGTCGGCTGCTTAGTTGTTGAACCAAGCCAAGGCAATGGGCAATGGGCAATGTGACACTGACGGTGGTAATGTTTGGCGTAGAGTTCTCTAGAAGTTCCCTTCAACGTTGGGATGGTGGCTACGAATTACCACTGCCCGTTCATTCTCATCCCTTACTCTTGCATTGGACACTGCCTCCACGACAACGACAACGACGACTCCAACGACTAAGAGATGACGATGACCAAAGGAATGGGTGAATGCTCTGCATTTGTGAAGCATTCAGCGGAAATATTCATCCTAGCTCGTCTTTTCAGCCGTTCCGTAGCCAAGTATCCCACTCCAGTTCACACACACATACATATGTACATGCATACACACATACACACACATATGAACACATCAAAAGGTTGTTGGTCGAATGAGTGAGCGGGTTGGTATGTCATTTGGAACGGCCGCGGCTGTCTCAATGCGGCTAGAGAGGGATTTTGTCGGAGCGGAGCAGAGCAGAGGCAGAGAACAGAAATTGCTTATGCGACATTCACATCCAATGCTCCAGCTATCGCCTGCAGTATTAGTTATGGCAGAGCAGCAAAGGCAAAGATGGTTGTCCAGACGGCAGGCAGGTTCGCTGGACGGATAGGGTCCCTAAGCCACAAGTAACATACATGCATACATTTTTACATACATACGCATATATGTATATTGTAAATGTATGTATGTATACATTCAAGATATATCGGTACATATGTATGTGGTTAAAAGTGTGCGTCTCTTTATTTGAAAGAGTCTTGGGTTACGATTTTAGATTTTCGCGATGTTCCAATGCTTCGCGTTACTTTGATCGCAATTTTCGGTTCGAAGCCTATGAATGAATGTATGCACTCAAGTCTGTATACTATAAAATGTACGCGATCAAAAACGTATTTTTAGATTAGTTGGACACACTTTACACACTGTGATAGGGTGTATGCTCTGAATTGTTGAAGCTGTTTTTTGTTTGTTTGTATATTTTCAAATTCTTTACTTTTCTTCACAGATGTCGCCAGTAAAAGTGCCGAAACGGACTTTATATGTGTTACTCCACTCAAAGTTACAACTTAACTGTTATTTTATTACAACATTTAATAAAAATCAACAAGTAAACGAGTCTGAAGGAAGGGAGGGCGCTGGTCCTGGTCCTTTTCATGCTTTTACGCTTTGTGCTCGTAGTCTGGGCTTGAACAAATCGAGCGTGCTGTTGTGGCTCCACGAGGTTTCATATTAAGTGGCACTATTAAAATGTATATGTGTGTTATTTCTTTTTACTTCTTGTGCCTTTAATTTCAGGTCCCCTTTTTTTTAGTGATTTCAATAGAAGATAACAAATAGATAGCAACAATGAAGGTATGTGGATGAGTATGGGCTCAGGTGGTGGGTCCAGTCCATCTTTTCACAGTTCAGGAGCGCCAGCAAATCAAGCGTAGGCTAATTAAGTTACGGCCTCAGGAAGCGACAAAATATCGAGTTTCGATTAAAACCAGCATGCCTCCAAATTGTGTGCTTAATTTGGCGCCACTGACCGTAACGGGACTGAGCTCAGTTGTCATTGTCTGCTTAACGAGATTCAAGGCGAGTCCTTGGCGTTCGCTGAACACAGTATTTAATTACAAAACTATACGCAAACAGCGCAGCGAGAATGTTGGTGGGCGATACTATAATGAAAAAGCTTAACAATCTTTTTAAAATCAAACAACCGCCATGCTGACATATGCATATTCCAGTATATGGATGTAGGACTTAACATCAAAAAGTAAAAAATCAAACATCAAAAAATAAAATCAGTTCACATAGTTTCTTTTGTCGTGTGTGTTGCTAGTACTATCAAAATTCTTAAATAAAAGGCTGGCTCTGTATATTGTATCAGGATCAAAACTTCTAAGTAAAAGGCCAACAAAACTTGGAGAGAATCTCCATAATGGCGAATCTGGCTGTATTACGCATAAAGCGCGAATTCAAAGAAGTCATGAAAAGCAACGAGGTATGTAAGTGGAGGTGAACAGAGTATGAGTCCATCCCATGCTAAGGCCAGCAGCACCAGCGCCAGAAGAAGTGGTGCTGCCGTCAGAAGCAGCGGACTTTGGCTTTTTGAAACCGAGCGACGTTACAGCCGTGGGGCTGCTGCTTCTTGACCAGTACTTGGGGCTTAAGGACGTACAACGGGGTGGAGGTGCAATCCTATTTATACTCCTGTACTAATTCTCCGTAACTTTCTCTGACAAATCTTGCAGTGCCATATCAAAATCGAAGTTGCCAATGACAATTGGACAGAGCTACGGGGTGAAATAGGAGGCCCTCCCGAAACGCCCTACGAAGGGGGAAATTTTATACTGGAAATAAAATTGCCCGAGACTTATCCCTTTAATCCGCCAAAGGTAGGTACATATCGATAAAGCATCACTAAGCCAAATGTAGATGGCTAAGACGAACTGAATCCATTTCGTCGGCAGGTTCGTTTTATTACGCGCATCTGGCACCCGAACATATCATCTGTGACTGGGGCTATTTGCCTGGACATACTCAAGAACAAATGGGCAGCGGGGATGACGATGCGCACGGTGTTGATGTCCCTGCAGGCCTTGCTGGCCGCTGCCGAGCCTGACAATCCGCAGGACGCCGTGGTAGCATACCAGTATAAGGAAAAGTACGATCTGTTTCTGCTTACTGCAAAGCACTGGACAAATGCTTACGCAGGGGGTCCGCACAACTTGCCCGATTGTGATTCAAAAACTAAACGCCTCATTGATATGGGTATCGACGAGCATAAGGCGCGCAGTGTTCTCTCTAAGGAGAACTGGAACTTGGAAAATGCGACGGAGTGCCTTTTCCATTAGTTTGCTGAGAGTAACATCATAGTCAAAACTCCCGAAAAATACCACTACATTACTAACGACTACTCAATTTTAAATTGTCCATCAGAGGAGGAGCACGATTTTAAATTTATCATGTGCTTTACTTGAGTTATTCGAACACCACATTCGTTACTTAATACACCAGATCCAACGCATAAGTTAATTGGTCTGTTTTGTTTGTATTAACTTTACATATAAATATATGTAATATACAGAAATGAATGCATGGTCGCCAGGTCTGCTGCCACAGTTTAAGCCTTAGCCACTGCCGCGATCCTCTTAATCAATGAATTTGTTTGTATTTTTCTACGTGACGTTGCATTTATATTAAGAGTCTTCTACAACTATTTTTTTAAAAACCCAAAAATATGTTTCAAAAGTAGAAAACTTACTTTAGAAATGCAAAACATAACTAAGTGTTTGTAAAGTCAAATTGAAGTCGAATTGAAGTATACTAAAATGCATATTTTAACCATATGACCATATTATAACCATACACAGAACCATTACTCATGTCTAAGTAGAATCAGATTCGCATTCTTTTAATACTTCGTACGTATGTACGTACATATTTATGTACATACGTACCGTTGCGACTTTCACTATTTCTTTCCGAATGCCCTTGAAAAAGTTTCTTTCACAGAAGTTAAGAGCATTCGCATTAAATAAAGCAAGAAATAACAAATTTTCTTTAAGTAGTCTGGCACTGACCTACCCTTAGGTCTTTCATGTTCGGCTATACACGGAAAAAATCGAAATAAAAACTCGAGAGTGTGGCACAGCATCCTTGGCACCACCACCTACCTCCTACAGAGGCGCACACATACACATGCATACATGCATGTAAATACATGTACATGAATGTGTGTGTACATACATCTCATTATATGTCTATATAAATATTTATATTCATGGATGGCTTGCGTATAGCATATCTACATATTTACAATATTTGTATATACATTACTATGTGTATTGAGTAACATAAAACAATAAGAGTACTACATACATATACGTTAAAAAAAATCTAGGTTGAAGCAGGGATTCTTCTAATACATAGATAATAAAATATTATTTAAGAAAAATTAATAGGGAATGGAGTAATATTCCCTGCATAAAAAACTCACCTCCAATTTGGTTTACAAATGGATGTGAAACTTTGTCGAGAAGCAACAGATGATAACATACATACATATGTACATTTTTATGTATTTTTATGTATATATTTACATACATGTGTGTATGGGTCCCGTTTTCTGGGCGGGAAACATTTCGACTGTTAGAGCTGTTGGGAGCATGTGAATTGAATATAAAACCAAATATAAAACTTGCCTTTTTTATCCAGTCAACCGGGACACACTGTGTGTGTATGTACTTACCATACATACATATGCATAATTTCATACATTTATACATACATTTGTAGAAGAGAGCCACTCGTACATGCATGGGCGTTCGACTGTCATTGAATCACCTAAAAGGATATTGCCGGTTTCGTCTAGCCGAGATCCAGTAGCCAAAGCCAGATGTCTGGCATTGAGTAGACCAAGAAGCCCCGCACTTGGCAAAGAATATATACTTACATCCATACATATGTATGTACATATGGCATCAAATACACATACATATACATATGTATTTTTATATAGTCGACGTCTGCTCAAAAGACTGCAAACAAGCAAAGAAAAAAATGGAAAAAGAGCACACGTAAACACACCAGCAAAAAAATTGGTTTTATGATTCAAGGACATGAATCACATTATTTTTCCAGCATGAAGCTCACATAAACACTAGCAGTAGGTTACAAAGATGTGGTTTTGTCCCAGTCCCATTTTCAGACATCCTTTTGGGGTCGTTCACTATTCGCTTTTGGCTTGGTGCGAAGAAGCAAGAACTGAAATCCAACATTTTTATTGCTCGTCCAGCTGTGTATGCACAAACGCACATAGATATGTTCCGTACATACATACATACTTCCTGAAACGAATGTATGGTCTTCTTTATCTATAGTTAGTTGGCAATACTTTTTATATGTACATACATACACATATACGGCGAGACACCTAATCGTACCTATTTACATACATACATACATACAAGTGTATGTACATAAAGTGAAAAAAAAGCTTTCACTTTCTTTCAATTGTTCTTTTAAACCTACAAAAAAATATAAAAACAGTATACATTTGGCAGAACATTGAAAAGGAAAGGAAAGCGATTTGTTGTGTCCTCTTCTTTTCACAGTACCCCAATCGTTCACACATTATGCAGGTGATGTTAACTTTTGCATGTTTATAAAGCCGAGTCTGGCGTTTGACTAAAAAATCTACAAATGTGTCTTAATCACGTACCCGCTGACACAAAAAAAAGCATCCCATTCCATAAAGGCAACTAATGTTCCATTAAAGGTAAACAAGCACTTAATATCAAATAAGTTACTTGTATGCATCTAAAGCACATCGCACTGTGTTAATTCTTTGCCTTACAAATTGTATTAAACACAGTCTAGAGGTATGTATACAAATATGTAAAGTTCGTTATTAGGATGACAGTCATTTCTCAGTACTCCGAATTATACATACTTAGTATTTATGTACATTCGACGATAGACACCCTCAATACGCAAAAAACTAGGCTCTTAAATATAGAACAAATTATGAATATTAACACATTTAATTATATGTTCAAACAGATGATTTTGTTAGAACTCACGCTCAAGGCCATTCATAATAGTGAGGCTATTATTTACTTAGTTTATTTATTTGCATTTGCCACCAAGCATTTACTATAATTGAGGCTTCCTGTAAATACATAGGCCGCACCAAGATACCAAACTGTGCTATATGGCTAGACGTTATAATGTGCATTATAATTATTTATGCTATTATATTCCTATTATACATGTGCATACATATATGTATCTACTGTGTGCACACATACATATGTACATATGTACATTTGCGAGTGTGAGTAAAGCACGTTTGCTCGGCTGCTTGACTAACAAATAAGTAGTCAAGTAGCCAACAACAACAAGCACATTCCAACAAATTAGGCCAGCTCCTTGCGTATTAGTATTTAAATGATAATGAGCTGCATTCAATGCTGCATTTATGCCACCTGCCCGATTTTCCGCCACAGGGGCTCATAAGTAGGTACTTAGTTAGAAAGGGGCATGTGTAAATCTTAAATGTGCTGTGTATTGAAACATTCAGCTGATTTGCATATGTATGTATGTATAAACCGCTATGTACATAGATTGTTGTAAATAACCACAACCTTGAAAATGTCTAGAATGTTACATTTCCTCGTGTTTGTATTAACGGAGGTAACGGCACGGTTTCGAAACCATCAATGGCAGTTAAACAGTTTCAATGTACATCAATTCCTACGCAGATATATGTATGTACATATGCATATATATTAAGGACTTGGAGGAGGTATTTAAATAGTACTGAAAGAAATGGGGATTTCCAGCATAAAGGGTACGTTTTGACTCTACCTTATTCTGACTGAAATATTCATCCGAAGGCTAATTTAAAAATATGTATATCCAGGCCAAACACTTTTTACACCAGCTACTCGAAGAGTTAAGGAAACATTGCTGCTTGTTTTAATCTAAGTATTGCATACATACATACATACACACATATGTACATACATATATATGTTATCTCCTCATCCTTTAAGAAGAATCAATGCCGAAGCTATCATCACTGGCGTTGCGATTCATTCGTACGACAAAATGTTGATAAGTATAATACAAAAAGTGCCAAACAAATATTTTTAAAATTTGGAGTACATATGTATGGACATATGTTAGATGTACATACATATTTACATATGTATGTACGTAATTACAAAAGTGATCGAATCGGGTGGGAGGGGCTATTTGTATAAGTATTCAGTGTCCACTTTCTAACTAATTAAATGTAAACAAAAGGTAAAATGTAAAAGGTAACAAATTTACCATAATAGTGTGCCAATACTCTGCTATTAATATTAAATGGTTAAATGTTATGTGTTGAAAAAATGTTATGTATGTACTGATTGAAAATATTTTTTTTAGATGATAGATATTTAAATCAAAGTCGATTAAATTAATTGCGAATTTATCAAATATTTTTCTTTCAATCAATAAAAAGTAAAAAACGGACAATTGACTGGACAATTGGACTGACTGGAGAAACAAATATTTATTCTTGTATTGTTTTTAAAGCTCTTTTAAAAAATGTATTATTTTTATTACCACGTACTCCGGCGTACCTTATGAGAAGGCCGAAATAGGATTTTATACCAGCTTTTTTGTAGCCAATTTTTGCGCATAATTGAATGCTTTAGTCGGAGCGAATCCCGTATGCCTCGTTTTTTTGTGTTGTGAATCACTGTAAAACTCTCTTATAACATTTTAGAGACTTTTGACAATATCTCACATGATGTGGCCTTCAATTTCAAGATTAACGACTTTTTTTTTTTCAATATCCAAAAAATTGTTCGCCTTGACCAATTCTAAAATTAATAACAACAAAAACCAAAACTGCAGCTATAATTATTCTTGTGCTTATGAAATGTTACAATACCCATATAATTCGGCTAAAACCGCTCCTAATTAAAAAAAAAAGTCCAAAAGAGAATCATAAATACATCTAAATTATCCTAAAACTAGGCACAGTGGTGTTCATGCAAACGCATCGTACTTTGTACATATTGTATGCATCGTACGTATTCATATCAAAAGTTGTTTAAGGCGGCCAGACCCTTAGTATGTACATACATATATGCGTGTAATGATTTTAATGACAATTTGTATTTAATAGATTGGATTTCAATTCAAATCAATGAAAATGGTCATGAAACTAACTTTTAAAAGGTCACAAAAAACTGTGGTTGATCCAAAAATTAAGAATAATTTTAAGTATTACAGCTGCAACCAAAAATTGCAAATCAATATGTTTTTTGTCTTGAGTGAAGAGCTCTGACTTTGATAAAAACCTATTCAGCTAAGTTAAGTTTACTGACTTTGACTTGGATTTCTAATCACTTCTATAATTGTCCCACCTCCCTCTGATTTTAACGCCCTCCCGCAGAAACTAAAAGTTAATCTTTCCCGTTTACAAGCACCCATACCA